TAGCTAGGGATGACTGGTTCTAGGCATTTAGCCGTTTGTTAGCTCTATCCAAAATGAAACTATAATAATTCTTCCCAATTCTTTTGTGGTGGATAAGAATGCCAAGATACTTACCCAAATCAGAGGTGAAGTTAAAACCAAGCTCCTGGCTAATCTCCATCACTCTGTTGTGGTTCAAGTTCTTGGAGAAGAAGACTTTTGTTTTAGACTTGTTTACCTTCTGGCCAGAGGCTTCACAGAAGTGATTTAGGACTTAGTTGACCACCATTGCCTGATTTAGAGATGCCTCACAACAGAGAAGGAGGTCATCAGCAAAGAACAGGAGTGAAATGGGGGGGCATTCTTGCTGAGAGAGACAGGTTTCTAGAATTTCTGAGTTGTTGCTTCAAGGATCAGTTGGGCTAGCCTTTCCATACATAACACAAAAAAGTAGGGTGATAGAGGGTCACCCTGCCTTAAAACTCTTGATGGTTTGAACTCTGTAGTTTTTTTCCTGTTTCATAAGATATTCATAGTACTGGAGGAGACACAAAGCATAATAAGGTGTATTAGTTCCTCTGGCAGCTTTAAATCAAGGAGTGTGTCTTGAAGAAAATCCCATCCAATTCTGTCATAGGCTTTCTCCACGTCTACTTTTATCACCATCTAGCCTTTCTTACCTTTCTTTCCCCGCATGGAATGAATCATTTCCTGGGCTATTATGATGTTGTCACTGCTTAGTCTACCTTTCACAAAGTTGCATTGGTTAGACATGACAAGAGATGGCATTAAACCTTTCAGCCTGTTTGAGATTTTCTTTGTTACAAGCTTGTAGATCACATTACACAAGCTAATGGGTCTGAATTTAGAGATGACTTCTGGATTCTCTACCTTGGGGATAAGGCAAAAAAGAGTCTGATTAATACTGGCTATTTTGGAGGGATCCGAGAAAATGTCTCTAATAAGAGAGCAAACAGATTTCTTAACTGTATTCCAATGAGCCTGGAAGAAAATGGCATGAAGGCCATCAGCTCCCGGAGCTTTATGGGGATTCATACTGAAAATGATGTTTTTTGGTCTCTTCATCAGTGGGCATTCTGCTCAAAAGGGTCAAGGATCTCTCATCAATTCTGGGGAAAGCTCATCTGATGATAAATTCAGGCTTGGTAGGAGCATCTTCAGAGTATAGGTTCTGGAAGAAGTTGACAGCCAAGGTTTGAAGGGAGAAAGAATCATCAATCCACATACCTTGGTTATCTTTGAGACACTTAATCTTATTTATTCTTCTTCTGATAACAGTGGAGGTGTGGAAGAATTTAGAGTTTTTGTCCCAAAAAATAAGCCAGTTGCTTCTAGCCCTCTGAAACCAAGTAAGCTCTTCCTTGATGTAAATGGAGTTAAGCTGCTGCCAAAGCTCTTTGTGGAGTCTTTCAAGGGTATTATCTGGTCTTATCTCTAACTCTTCCTCAATGCCCTTCAGTCTAGCTTGGATCTTCCTTTTTTGCTTGAGATGGTCAGTGAAAGTAGTGTAGTGCCAATCTGATGCCTTTTCTTGAAAAACAGATTTTGCATCCACCCAATCATCATTCCTATCCCAACTGATTTTCACAATCTGCTCAAAGTCTTCATGAGTCATCCAAGCTTCAAGGAACTTAAACTGCTTGTCTCCATTACCACCCCTCCTCTCAGGTTGATTCCCAAGGATTATTAGTCTATGATCAGAACCATTGAAAAGATGATATGTGACTAATCTGTCTTGGAATTGTGTTAGCCACTCCTCATTTACAATAGCTCTGTCTATTATTTCATGCAGGGAACCTGTTTTCCAAGTGAAAGAAGGACCACAAAAGCCAAGATCAGCCAAACCACACTCTTCTAAGCAGTCTTGGAATTCTTGCATGGAATTCCAAGCAGCATCACCACCTCCTTTTTTCTCCAACTAGCTGAGGTAGGCATTAAAATCTCCCATCAGGGACCACGACCCAGAAATAGAGCTTCTAATTCTGCTGAGGTCTTCCCAGAGGCTCAGCCTTTCTATTCTTTTAGGGCTGCCATATATAGCAGTAAAAAACTCATCTTTCTTTGAATCTTTCCACAAAAGCTTCATGTGGATGAACTGGTGCTTGGCCTCAATGATGCTAACTTCCAAGTCACTTTTATTCCAAAGTAAACAGATGCCTCCAAAAAACCCAATGGGATCCTGGATGAATTTGCTGTCAAAGCCAATCTTTTTATAAATTCTCCCAGCCTTATCTCCTCCTATTCTAGTCTCAATTAAAACCAGAAGTTGAATTATGTTAGAGACAACAAAATATTTTAGGAGTGCAGGGAACCCTTTCTTCCCTACTCCTCTACAGTTCCAGGTGCAGACTAACATTAAAATTTTATTTGGAAGAAGAGGAACAGAGCCGAGGCACTCAAGGCCTGTTAGAGAGATCTTGGACAACTCCACCAAGGTTAATGATATCATCCAAGGGAATTCTATTAACCATTGAGTGTTGGAGGTCTCTCAATAATTCAAGACTGTCAGGTGGCTTCATCTTTTCTTGCAATTGGGTTTTTGGTGCCACCTCAGTGTGAATTGCATATTGCATCTCCTTTTTGGCCACTGAAGTTGTAGCAACATTATCAGGTTCTGTTTGGGTATTGGGTTCTCAGACAGAATAAAGGGCAGTATCAAGTGTGGTGGTCTTCTGTGGGGATATCTTTGGTAGGTTCTTTAGTATAGGCTGGTTAGAAGGGACATTCCCTTTTCCTTGTTTGTTAGGTTTGGCATTCGATCTGGCTGTGGTATTCACAGTCCCTTTTCTCCCTTGGTCAGGGGATGCAGGGGTCTTGCTAGCTTTGGATATGTGTTGAACTTCTTCTTTCCCCTTAGTCATAGTTGACTCATCTTCTTTTTGTTCTAACCCTGAATCTTCCACACTAATCACTTCGAAACGAGAGCCCCCTACCCTAGTATTGTCCCTAGGCTGATTATCTCCCTTCGGCTCCAAGGAGTTAGACACAGCTCTACGGTTTGGGTTCAAGATCTCTCTGGGTTTTTTGCCTCTATTATTTCTCTGAACGAGCATCCAGCTGCCTCTGTCTTGGGTTTCAGAAACTTTCACGTTCTTTTCTGGGCTCTCTTTCTCTTGAGGCTTCGGGAAAGCCAGATTGGTGGCCTATGGGTTTTGGTTCTTTGCTATATTCCTGGGACAATGGTCTTGTTTATGGCTATATTCTCCACAGTTAAAACAAATGAGATGTAATCCCTCATAGGCCACAGGGAAAATTCTGTCTGCAAACCTAAATTTAGCTAGCAGCCCTTTCTTTAAATCAACCTCCACACACACTCTTGCAAATTTAGCTCTCTTAGTATATTCTGTTATCCCTGAGTCTCCTCTTCTTATGGAGTTTCTGTCAATCTTGATAGTTCTACCAAAAATATTACCTATATTCTTTAGGTGTTTTGATTTATAGAGTTCAAGAGGCAAACCTGGAATGCGTATCCACACCGCTAGTCTCCTAACGCTATCATCATAAGGGTCGAACATGGGGCGCCATTTCTGCACAGTTACATAGTGGTCCGCTACAATCCAGGGACCTTCCTCCAGCACATGCTTGTAGTCTTGCTCATCCCAAAGTCTTACCAGGTAAAAATCATTCTCCAGGTCTATGAATTCATAAGCTCATCTGAGACTCCACATCTTTAGTAGCCAATTAATAAGGAACCGCATGCCTATTCTTTTCCCCAAAAGTTTGAAAATCAAAGCATTCTGCCATTCCTTGCAGTCCTCCTTGTGCTCTTCGATTGGAATCTGGTAAATGGGACACAGGGGGTCCTCTTTGAAATTCTCGTATCTTCCTTCTCTGGCTTCCTCAAAGGCATTCTCTTTCTTCTGATCGGTGAGCCAATCTTCTTCATCACTCTCTACGTATACCCCTCCTCCATTCAGGTTACTGTTCAAGAGGGATTCTTTGTAGGAGATAACCTTCCTAACCTCCCCTTCGGTCTCGATAATCTCTGGTTGGCAGAGGAATTCTGAGTTAAGCTCCAAGTCTCCATTCACGATTTCTTTCTCCTTCGGTGAACCTTGGTCCCCCAATTGCATGTGGTAATCCATGACTTCATCTTGTATAACAAGCCCTTTAGGTTTCTTCGTGCTCCTGTTGAGATTGTCTTCCTCTTCTTTGGAAGCTGGCCTGGTCTCCCCCATAAAAGAAACAGAGATGAAAAGGAAACCCTAGCAGAGAAAATAAATCGAGCGCGTGAGATGCACGGTTTGATTATATTTAGAGTAAATAGACTTTTTGGTCCTCAGCAAATTTCACGAAGCCCCTTTTAGTCCCTAGCAAATAAAAATGCCCATCGTGGTCTCTAAAAATTTAAAAAGGACCCATTTAGTTGAATTCGTGGTCCCTCACAAATTCAAAAAAGAGCCATATTAGTCCTCAAAAGGACTAAAATGAGTCCATTTTGAATTTTTTAGGGACCACGATGAGCCTTTTTATTTGCTAAGGACTAAAACGGGTTTCATGAAATTTGCTGAGCACCAAAAGGGGTATTTACTCATATATTTATTTTCATATTTGTATGGTTATGATTCACAATATTTAATACTTTATATTTATTTTCACTTTTGTATGATTATGATTTTTCATATTTAATATTAAATATGAGAAATCATAATCATACAAAGATGAAAATAAATATAATCGTTGGATCAACATAATCGATCTAATGATAAAATTGATTGATAAAAAAAAATATAATAACATGAAAAAAATCAGTTTAAAAAAACAGGAGTGTGTCGATTGTCCAACTAACAAAAGCACCGCAGTCAGACATCCTCACCTAATCAACAACTTCAGTCAAAGGAGCTTTTATCAATCAACAAATCAAACAAATACTACACTGTATTCAAATGCAAAATCAAAGAAGAAGAATTTTCTTTTCTTTTTTTAAAAAAAAGACCAAAAATGAAAAACCCCCCCAATTTTCTACATTTAACCATTTCTCATTCTGCACTTTCATTCAATTAGCTCACACACAGTTTCTGCACTTTTTTTATCTTTGCCATTCCTCACACCCCATTTAGCCCCCAAAAAGCCCATGGCACCTTCACAACGTGGTTAGCCAACAAAAAACCCCCACCTTAAAAATCGAAGCTTTATCATCGTACTACCAAGATTGTTTCAGCTCAATGGATCGCAGGAGCAGCTTGTTGCTGCTGACGGGTTTCTGGGTGTTGTTCTCCGCTTCATCGCAGGTCGAAAACGACGTGAGATGTCTGAGGGGCATCAAGGACAACCTCAAGGACCCTCTGAATCGCCTTGCCTCGTGGCAGTTCAACAACAACACCGTGGGTTTCATCTGCTCCTTCACCGGCGTGACTTGCTGGAACGAGAGGGAGAACAGGGTCTATGGTCTGAATCTCCAACAGCTGAATCTCTCGGGTCAGATCCCCAAGTCGTTGGAGTACTGTGGTAAGAACTTGCAAAATTTGAATCTTGGGTCAAACTTAATCACTTCTGAGATACCGAGTGAGATCTGTGATTGGATGCCGTTTTTGGTGTCACTTGATTTGTCTGGTAATGATCTTTCTGGGCCTATTCCAATTACCCTTAAGAATTGTTCTTATTTGAATGAGTTGGTGCTTTCAGATAATCATCTTTCTGGTCCTATTCCTTTTGAATTTGAGAGTTTGATTAGGCTTAAGAAGTTTTCTGTGGCTAACAATGAACTTAGTGGGACTATTCCTTCATTTTTTAGTAAGTTTGATAAGGAGGACTTTGATGGGAATAGTGGGTTGTGTGGACCTCCTCTTGGATCCAAGTGTGGTGGTTTGAGCAAGAAGAATCTTGCTGTTATTATTGCTGCTGGGGTGTTCGGTGCTGCTGCTTCATTGTTGCTTGCTTTTGGGTTGTGGTGGTGGTATCATTTGAGGTTGAGTGGGAGAAAGGAGAAGGGAGGGTATGGGGTTGGGGGTGTTGATGATTGGGCTGTTAGATTGAGGGGTCATAAGCTTGTTCAGGTTAATCTTTTTCAGAAACCTATTGTGAAGGTTAAGTTGGGGAATTTGATGGCTGCAACAAACAATTTCAATGCTAAGAATGTTCTTTTCTCCACAAGGACGGGGACTACTTATAAGGCTGATCTTCCTGATGGATCAACACTCGCAGTGAAGCGGCTGAACACCTGTAAGATTGGGGAGAAGCAGTTTCGAATGGAGATGAACCTGCTAGGCCAAGTTAGGCACCCGAATTTGGCACCCCTTCTTGGGTTTTGTGTTGTGGAAGAGGAGAAGCTGCTGGTTTATAAGCACATGTCGAATGGGACTCTGTATTCCTTGTTGCATAAGAATGGCAGTGTATTGGATTGGCTGATGAGGTTCAGGATAGGCTTGGGCGCGGCTAGGGGTCTTGCCTGGCTGCACCATGGCTGCCATCCTCCCATTATACAGCAGAACATTTGTTCCAATGTGATTCTTGTTGATGAAGAATTTGATGCTCGGTTGATGGATTTTGGACTCGCGAGACTTATGACATCTGACTCTAGTGGTAGTTTTGTGAATGGGGATTTGGGGGAACTCGGCTATATAGCTCCGGAATATCCAAGTACCCTGGTTGCTTCATTAAAAGGTGATGTTTATGGATTTGGGGTTTTGCTTTTGGAGTTGGCCACCGGACGCAAACCTCTTGAGGTGAGCAATGATCAGGAAGAATTTAAGGGTAGCTTAGTGGATTGGGTAAATATGCATTCAAGTTCTGGTCGAATCAAGGATTGCATTGATCGAGCCATATGTGGAAGGGAACATGATGAGGAGATTCTGCAGTTTCTGAAAATTGCATCTAATTGTGTTGTTTCTCGCCCCAAGGATAGGTGGTCTATGTACCAGGTTTATCATTCCTTAAAGAGTATATCCAAAGACCACAGTTTCTCTGAACATGATGATGAATTTCCCCTGATCTTTGGTAAGCTAGAAAATGAGCCAGCATAGTTGTGGAGGAGAGTATGACAGCATGAAAAGAAGATCTAAACGTTCCAACTGAACTTCATATTATAGTGGAGAGTTTTCAGAATGGTCTTAAAGTTTATGGTTTGAGCATTTCCATGGATGATCCTAATCAGGTATAGTTGTACTTGTCTAATATAATAAACTTTTTGGTAGGTTAAGTTCTTGTGTTTTATGAAATCTATTTGTTTCACTGTTTGTTGTATGAAGACGAAACCTCAAGAGGTCCAATATATTCGGAGTATGCTTCAAATTTAAATCCTTAAATATGTAAGTCCTCAAGCCAAAAAAGAAAAAAAAGGATGTCTACTTGTGCTACATCTAATGGATTGGAAAGTTTGAAGCATTTAATTTCTGCATAAATAAAAGAGGTCTTAGTTTCCATGCATGCAGTATTTAACGTTAAAATGCCATTTGATCTATTTAACAAGTACCACTTATAATCTAGACTCCTTGCTACTGAAACCATTGCTACATGGACAAAAATTAAATTCAGCATTATCGTTTTAAATCGGTCCTCTAAAGAGAAAATCAACTGACTAAACCAAAAGGAAAATTTTTTGGATGTTAAGTCATAGGCTTGTTAGTTCAAACTCTGACTACAACTTGGTCTTCCCATAACTTCAAATAAATTACAGAGTCACTGTCACTATTGATATATTTTGGAAGATATTAGCAAGCCAAAAAAAAAAAAGGAAAGATATAAAAAATCTAGTAAACCATTTTGAGAGACAACTCAGGGGAGTGATTCTAGTGCACTGGGTGCACAAGTTAGATCATTGTTATTTTGCCTCTAGATATATGTTGTTTTTATACCATGTGATCTAATCCTTCATGTAGGAAGTGAGTTTAAGGGTGGAGTGATCCTCCAAGTACCCTTAGTTTACTGAGATAATTATTTCACCCTTTTTGGGGGATATGTTTCAGGTACTCGAGGTGAAGGAATTGGGACTTCCCTAGGGAAGAAGTCGGTTTAGGGCATGAGAGCCTTTGTCCTTTTGGCTTGGCGTAAATTGGAATTTGTAGCATGATAGGGTCATTGTTTTGGAATTGTATGTGTGTGTGATGTAGTTGATGGAAAGCATATATGGTCATAATTGTATCTAATTGAAAGTAAAGCCAAGTATGTCGTAGATCTTGATTTTTGGTTATATAGAGGTTAAAATGAACATTGTAATGCATTTGATGGTTTGATACCAAGTTTAGTGGATTCATGGATGTAATATATATACTGAAGCTTGTTCAATTGAAAATATTGGTAATATGGTCTATTAGGTACTTGGAGTGTGCCTCTGTCCTCAAAGAAAGGTTCAATACTTCAAAAAGAACTTTTCATTTTCATGTCAACCGTGCTAGGGTGCGCTATTGACATTTCTCTCTGGTTGAGCGCGCTACAACACGCTAAAAGAAGAGAAAATACCTATTGCGTGTGCTACAACGCACTAAACAGGGGAGAATTACATCCTTCAGCGCACTCTTGGGCGTTAAAGCGCGTTGGACCAGTAACTCAAATTCATAAACTATCCTTTTTGGCGCCACTTGTTATTGGGTTGGTTACTAATGTAGGATACATCTAACCAATGTAAGAGGTTAATGAATAAGGAAATATATATTAATGAATATGAAATAAGTTTATTTGGAAGAAGGAAAAAAAAGGTTTATTCTAGATGCGTGTAATGTCATAATTAATGTTAATACACTGAATGCACATCAGATCTTACACAAACCAAACAACATTTAATCTAATCAAAAAGTGCAGCATGCGATATTATTAGCAAAAAGTGCAGCATGCCATATTATTAGCATAAGTGAGGGGGAAGGGAGGAATAAATTTTTAGTGCAACGCTTACACCAAAGATTTAGTGCATTATATCAATGGAAACATTATACGTTAGTTCAAAATTCTTTCTCTTCTACCAAATTCTCTCTCTCCTCTGACATATAATGCTTCCATTGATGGAATGCGTTAAATCTAGGTGTAACAGATACATCTAAAATTTATTCAATTTGGGACTAAAGGGATTGCCCGTGGTTAAGGAGTGATTCTATATTTTATAAAGACACAAGACCACGCCAAGTCACTAAAAATAAATCCCTAAAATTGTCAAAAGAAATATTTAATTTTATTTTTTTCCTGTGAAATTAATTCCATTTTAAGTATCTTAATCTTTTTTCATGCAAGGTACGACAATTAATAAAGTGTAAATATAAAAAAAATGAAAAATGAAGTGTGAGGAAATCCAACCTCTCATCTTAAACAGTGATGGTCAACAGAAAAGAGTGTCATTAGGGTACAAAGCCATTGATAAGTGTGTAAATGAGTTAGTTAAAGTAAAACTTTAACCTAAATGGGTTATACTTGTGTAAATTATTTTAAATTTGGCTTGATTTATTAGTTTTATATAAATCAAATGATAAGTGTGGCCTAACTTATTTTTCACAAATACAAGCCTTGGCATATCAACTCTACCAACTACCTAGCCTTAAAAAATAATATGTTGCACTCCGCAAAATATAGGTTATAATTCTTTTGTTATTTTGTATGTTTAACTGAGCGGAATATATTTATTTTCTATGCACACAATAACCCAAGATATTAACAATTTAACTATATTGCTAGATATGAAAAACAAAAAAATGGCAAGGAAGTATAATTCTTACAAGATATATAGATGCGTATAATATCAATAAGTTAAATAATATGTTTTTTTTAGTATAAATTTTGGAAATAAGCAATTTTGTCAATAATATAAAAAAAGAGCAAAAAGTACAAAGAATGAGGACTTACTATCATTTGCAAAAGTCTTGAGAGTTGATGGTAAGCGATGGATGGTTTGGAATGAAAGAAAAGTTAAGAAAGGGGCATAAAAGTAACGAAATGTGGCGAATGAGGGAAGACGAGAAGAGCAATGACAACACAGGAACTTAGGGGCATTTCGTAGAGGAAAAAAAAATTACAGGAAAAAAAAGATTTCCTGGAATATAGTGAGAATTTTTTTTTTTCGGGTAAGTTACTAAAAAGTGTTTGGTAGGCCAAATTTTTTTTCGAGAATGTTGGTTATTTTTACTGATGCTGTGTTTGGTTGATAGTAAAATATTGATAAGAATCTGAATCGAAATTACAAAATTACCCATCATTCCCTACTATCATGAATCAAACATACTTGGTTTAGTTGTCAGGTTCTCTTTACCATTTTGTCTTCTTCTTTTTTCTTTTCTGGGATCTTACTTGCACATTGCTTCTTCACTCCATAGCTCTGTAATTCCATTTGCTCAAATTCCCTTTTTTTTATTTTTTTTCTCTTACATTTCCTTTCTTGCTCCAAATCTAATCAACATACACCAACCCCCCCTCCCATTTGTTTCACTCTGATACCTAAGGAGGCTAAACTGAAGCTTCAGTAAGAGAGTGAAGCTTGTGCGTGTGGGCTTAGAAGCCGAAATTGGGGGAAAACCATAAAAAGAAAGCTTGCAATGTGAACTGATCTTCGGTTGGGACCGAGGCAAAACCAGTGTAGGTGTAGTACTCCTATGCATGTCCATATAAATCACCTCACCCAAAGCCTTTCCATCAATTCTCTTCTTCATAATATTGAGTGGACCCATTTCAATCAAGAGGTGATGAACACGGTGAGGGAAAAAAAGTTGGGAAAATTTTCGTCTGAACACGGAGGTTATGGTGATGAAATTTGGGAAAAATTTGATGAATACGAAGGTGATGAACAGAGTGGAGCCATTTCAACTCAAGGCATTTTCGTCTCATTTTATTGTTACTACTTTTCCACACGGTGGGGAAAAAAAATACCATGATAAAGATGATATTTTTTTTTGGAATTTGAAGTGTAAAACATAAAGTTGGGGAAAAAAATTTCTCGGCATATTTTCATTTTTTTTTTTAGTATTGCAATGGGGCAAAAACGCCCAAAAAAGAAAAAAAAACTACAGGAGAGAGCAGTCAGCTTCCAAGGTAAGACTCATCCCATCTGGAGCTGAAGCAAAAAGCATAAAATTCTCTACGTTGGAGACTGCCCAATTGGCAAGGAGGTCTGCACTAGCATTGCCATCCCTATTCACATGAACAAACTTGACTTGCCATCTTCTATTACTCCAGTTCTTGATACTGCTGATAAGCTGATGATGGCAGCAACCTTCATTATCGTTGGTCAAGGCTTGGATAGCCTGTAGACAATCACTCTCAATCAAAAGATGTGTGGCTTTACTCTCCCAAGCCACCTGAATGCCTTTGAGGATGGCCCATAGCTCTGCTGAAAGGGGGAGCATAATTGATGCTCTCCGGCAAGTATACCGATCGCACAAGTAATATAATGAATGAGTAGAGTATCGTCTCCACAGGGATTGTAAACCAAGTACTACAATAACCAGTCCCCTTAAGTTGGAAAACTCGGTTGTTGTTGAAAAAATTGTTGTTGATTTTGAGTAACAATAAGAACTAAGAGTAAAGACTTATTTTTAACTTTTTTGTTTAAGAGAAATAAAACAGCAATTGATTTTGTAAAAATATGAGAAGGGATTGTAGCTAGAGTACACTTACCGAATGATTCCCACTTCTTACTTTGGATTGATTTACAATACTTATTTATATAATTACTCAGATAAATTATTATCTAAACATATTTAATAGTTAACCCTCAATTCCTTCCAAGGTTAACCCTTTAACCCCAATTCCTTGCAATGTTCCTCATGGTATTAAGCAATGAACGCAATAATTTAAGCATCCGCAATTAAATACACATATATTCCTAGCATGCATATAAATTGTTATCCTACTCCATTTCAAGATTAAAACCCCAATATTCCTATCTAGGGTTCTAACCCTCAAACTATTCTCAACTATCAGATTGATCAGTTCTAGTAAAGAAAATATAAAATACGCACAGGGTAGAGATAAAGATAATTTATATAAACGAGTAAAAGTAAACCAATCTGTCGTAACAAGGGTTCACATAGGGCTTGTGACCCTAACTACAATAAAAGATAAACTAGCCAACTATTATCATGGCTAAATATTCAATATTCAACATAAACCTGATAAATTACACGAAGAAGATAAACTTGATCTCCAGAATCCTCTCGGAGCACCGTCGTCGTCTCACTTCAATAGAATAGGTCTGGATACCTAATTCTGTCATGAGGATCCTATTTATAAGCCTCCTTCATTCTTCCAAAATTTCCCTTCGGAAAACACGGTGTATCTTTCCCACAAATCGGCGCCAGTCGGCGCCAAGCCTCTGTCCAAATTGAAAAAAGTCAAAAATCATTCTTCGTAAAACTGCGCCAGTTGGCGCCATTTTGGCGCAACTCGATGTCGTGTCACTGCCATTATAACGCGAAGTTCCCAAAAACCGGCGCCACTAGGCGCCATTGTGGCGCTAGTCGGCGCCGCTTGCATAAGATCGGTTTGGACTCAGAAACCGGCGCCAGTGGGCGCCATTGTGGCGTCACTAAGTGTCGCTTCTCTGTGCTTCTCTGATGGATTTCTTCAAGTATCCGGCGCTACTTGGCGCCGTTGTGGCGCCAGTTAGCGCCACTTACAAGGTACCGCTGTGCAGTTCGTAAACTGGTGCGGGTCCGCGTCAGTGTGGCGCCAGTTCGCGCCATAGTGCTGAAATTTGTAGTGTGCTGCACCCGTGTGGAGTCGCGTCAACAGGTTTTTTATAATTTTGTAATTTTCACTTCTTTTACCTGTATAAACATAACCAATAGGTGAGAAATATCATTGACATAGAAAGAATCAATATAATAAGCAAATATGTATATAAATTGCTCTTTTATGACTCATTTCTTATCAATTTTAACTTAGAAAAACCACACTTGCCAGAGGCACATCAATAATCCAATCTTGTACATGAAACCGGTGATCTATCTTCCTTGATAGTCTCTTATAAGGCCCCCAAAAGCCGTTGTTGCCACATTAATCTTAATAGCTGCATCCACATTTAACTTCCACCATCCTTGGGGAGGAGCTTTCCATCTCACTATCTCATTTGCTGTTGAAGGATTATGAATGCGAGTCTGTGTTGGGAAACAACCTCTTATGTCTCTAATGTAAGCAGATATAACTTGAATGGGATCAGCAGGCCTGGAGAAGGAAGGATCATGGATTTCACTATTACGCCACCTCCAAAGGAACCAGATTATGGTCACAAATATGTCCTTCCAGGCTAGGAGCTGTCTATTCGGCCAACCTTTATGGATATTCCTCTGCAACCAGTTCCCAGCAGATAAGGAGAAAAAGTCAAGAGAAGGTTTTCCATTAAACCAATTAAGACGAATAAGGGCAGCCTTGGGGCAGTCCCTGAAGACATGCACAATATTCTCCATTTGAGAATTACAGTTGTGACAATTTGCGCTCCTACCCCATTTAGCTGTCATTTCCTTAGTGAAGATGCGCCCGTGGTACACTAATCGGATAAAGGATCAAATTCTATAAGGGCCTCTCCACTTCCAAATGGATTTCCAAGTTTTGTCAGGAGCAAGGGAGTTGAAGTCCATTAGGTTATTGTATGCCAATCTGACAACATTTTTTTGCCCAACAGTCTTACCCCAAATCAGCCCATATGTCCCGCGATCCGGAGAAGGAGGAAGAATGGCCCTAATCGAGTTAACAGCCTCCAAAGGCAGAATTCTAGATAAATTTTCCAAATACCAGTCCCTTGTGGTATGGTCCACCATGTCCGCCACCTTGGACTTGAAATCAGTTACCAAATGGTTGGGGAGAATTAACTCACAGAGGAGCAAATCTAGATTAGTCCACTTATCCTGCCAGAAATATATATCTTTCCCATCTCCAACATCCCACTTCAAGTTGTTTAGAAACCCATTCCAAATGCGGCCCAGCCCTTTCCAGAGGGTAGAATCATAAGGCAGAACTTTGGTATGTTGTCTTAAGTCAATATTTCTATCATATTTCCCAGTGAGGACCTAAGCCCATAACTCATCTTTGTTGCTAATCATTCTCCACGCCAGCTTGTGAAGAAAAGCTTCGTTGTGGACCTTAAGGTTGTGGATTCCCAACCCTCCCATGTTTTTGGTTTTGCATAGATTCTCCCATGCAATAAGATGCACTTTCCTGGCCTCATCTGTATCCCCCCAAATGAAGGATCTTTGAATCTTCTCAATTTCGTTGCAAACCGAGGTAGGAAGCACACTATGCTGCATATGATAGACCAAAATGGAGCTTAACACAGAATTAGCAAGAGTCTCTCGTCCAGCAAAGGATAGGAGATGACTTTTCCACTTTGAGAGACGAGATTTAACCCTGTCCATCACCCCTACATAGTTCCTCCTCTTACCCCTGCCATGGTAAAGCATAGAACCCAAATATCTGCCAAGCGAGTTAGCAGCATAGAAGCCACTGGCCCGGGTGATGTCTTCCTTAGTAGAGGCATTGGTATTCCTGGAGAAATAAATGATGGTTTTTTCTATACTAACTAACTGACCAGATATATCACAGAAGTTCTTCAGACAACCCATCATCACCTCTAACTGTTCCATGCTGGCTTCTCCAAATAAGATGAGGTCATCTGCGAACATAAGGTGAGAAATAGCTGGCCCATTCCTACCAACTTTCATAGGTTTCCAATTTTTACTCTGGACAGCATCTGCTATTAGGTGAGATAGCTTGTCCATGCAGAGAACAAAAAGGTAAGGGGATATAGGATCTCCTTGCCTAATTCCTTTGGTAGGGGTGAATTTATCTGAACCACTCCAATTCCACAAAATCTGAAATTTAGTTGAAGTAATGCAAGCTTCAATAATTTTAACCATGTCCAAAGGAATACCAGCTTCTGACAGAACATTGTTGACAAACCCCCAGTTTAAACGATCATAAGCTTTTGCCAGATCTATCTTAATAGACATGAAAGCCTTCTTTCCCTTAAGCCTATTCATGGATTGAGTCATTTCCTGAGCAATGATAACGTTATCATGGATCACTCTACCTGGCACAAAGCTTGTCTGGAATGGAGACACTAGAGTGTTCATAAGAGGTTTTAACTGATTGACAATAACTTTGGTAATAGCCTTGTAAATCACACTGCATAAGGCTATCGGTCTAAACTGTTCCACTCTCTCAGGCTTTTCCACTTCGGGTATAAGGACCAGAAGAGTCTCATTTATCCTGGAAATCTCATGCGGATTAAGAAGATAATGTCTGATATCCGAGCACACCCTATTCGCCAAAAAGGTCCAATTGCGTTGATAAAAGGCTGTTGGGAAGCCATCTGGACCTGGGGCTTTATGAGGCCCCATTTGGAAAAAGGCCTTCTTAATCTCAACATCAGAATATGGGTTGCACAGGGACTGACTCACAGGGGCTCCAGAGGGGGCCATTTAGTCTTCGTGGGGATCCAACTTCTGGTAAGGAGATCTTCAGTGAAGAGCCTAAGATAAAAATTGGTAGCCAAACACTTCAGTGAGGACTCATTTCTAATCCAAACACCCACCTCATTTTTTAGAGCAAGGATTTTGCTCCTGCTTCTTTTAGCAATTGCAGAAAGATGGTAAAATTTTGTATTGCGGTCACCATCGCGAATCCAAGTGGACCTAGATTTTTGGTACCACAACTGCTCCTCTAAGTCCAGGATCTCTTCCAGTTCTCGTCTCAGCTCAAGGTCTAAATTGCTAAGGTAAGCAAGTTGGACTTTGAGCATTGGTTGGACTCTTGGTTTGGATTGTGAGCTTGCAAGGTAAGCTTTCGTGTCCTCGGTTTAGCCATGTTGTGGTTCCACCATACCCCATGGGGGGATGGTTTATATGCATGTTGTGTTCCATGCTTTGGATATTTTGAAATGCTTTTGAGCTGGTATGTGCAATGGCTTATAATATGTATGTGTTGTTTCCACTTAGTCGGTAAGCCTGAGTATGTAGCGTCATACAAGATGGTGAGTCTGTGGGTGGGTGCAAGTAGCGTCTTGCATATTGTGTGGGTAATAGACGTATTCCTGCATTTCTCTGATCAGTAGAATAGAATTGACACATATGACATGATTATCTGTTGCATTGCACTATTTTGAAAATTATATTGTTGAACTGTTTTTGAACTTATATTGCACATGTAAGTGAGCTTGGGGTGGAAGATCCTTGAGGACCCCTTGTCTTACTGAGATTTCTTGTTTAGAGATTTCACCCCACGTTTGGGGAACGCTTATTTCAGGTTCAAGTAACTTGGGGGCTGATGCCTCTAGCGGCAGGAGGCCGGAGCTTAGTTGATTATTATTGTTGTTTATATTTATGCTGGCATGACTGGATTTAGATGTTGTTTATGTTTTCTGCCATTTATGATTATTGAGTTGAGACTTATGTTGGGCTTGTTGCCTTATTTGGGTGAGCATGGGGTTTGTCCATGCCACTTGGTTGTTAGCACTTTTTAGCTTGAGTTGTATAAATTATCAGGGTTGTCCAGCCTACGTGTTGTAGTTCCGTGACTAGAGACACATATCTGTTATTTAATTAATGAGGTATTTCAGTTAGCTATCTTTTGCAATTTACATACAGGCAATGTTTTGTTAATTGATTAAGTAAGCAAGTTGGTAATGATAATGACATCATAATTGAAAAGAAATAGATATTCCGCAATTTTAATTAAGTGCAGCTTAATACGATGATATGATAACATTACCAGATATATACGGGGTGTTACACAATCCAAGAAGGAAAGAACCTGAATGGTTTTTCTTCCCACGCTGCCGAATCTTTTACAAGGGAGATAAGGATGGGATTGTGATCAGAAAGGATTCTAGGAATTACCTTCACAATAGCTTCATCAAAGATAAGTCTCCAATCAGTGTTGGCCACTTCTCTGTCCAGCCTCTTATAGACGCGATCCAGATGAGAAAACTTAGGCCCTTTCCAAGTGTAGAAAGGACCAGAGCTACCAAGATCGATGAGTTGGCAATCGTCAAGAACTGAAGCAAACTCAGAACATCTACCAATGTCAGCAAGGGCACCTCCTTTCTTTTCAATTGGCGAAATGATTTCGTTGAAATCACCAGCAAGGAGCAAGGGTTCCTGATGCGTCGAGTGTAACCTTCGAAGCTCATCCCAGAGGAATTTCCTCTTTTCAATTCTAGGATTAGCATAAATAGCCGTGAATAAGAAAGGTAGCTTATCAGGAATAGAAATTCGCACCAGGATGAGTTGCTCATCTTTCTCAATGATCTGCACTGAAAAGGAGGATTGATTCCAAAGAATCCAAATTCCCCCAGAAAACCCCACAGCTTCCTCTATAATTGAGTTTGCAAAACCCAAATTCTGAATAATTTTTGCAGCTCGAACCCCACTAACTCTAGGTTCTAACAGAACTACCAAATCACTCCTGTATTTCTTTGACAACGTTCCCATAATACCTTTGAACCTTTTCTTGGCCGCTCCGCGACAATTCCAGGTGAAGATATTCATTGGATAACTATATATTTTGTGGTTGTAACCTGGGATCCTCCGTTTCCATTTCCATCTTTCTCCATAAGAGCTGGTTTTGTTCTAACCAACTTTGGCGTTTTTGAAGGACTATTACTTCTGGATCTTTGAAATCCATTAGTCCTTTTGTCTATCTAGTTCTCTGTTTTCCTTCTCATCCGGGCTCTGAGAGTACGTGTTGGCCCCATATCTTCCTCTAGGATGCATGCAAGTGAGAACTTCATTCAGAGCTTCCTCGTCTTGGGATTTTGACATCTGGCTCATAAAACGGAGGATTTCCTATTCCTTCTGCTTCTTCTGATCTCTGCTTTGCACTTCCTCTGGGGATTCCTGGGTCAAAATTGGTACGGTTACCATTGGAGCAGGTCCACTGTTGCTGCCTTCACCCAGATTGGGTTTCACTTGGGTTGGCACCTTTCCTTGGGCCTTAGGGGTACTGAGATTTTTCTTTGGGCCCGATATTCCACCTGGGACCAAGTAGATATTACTTTTCACCCCATTTTCCTTAGACTTACCAGATTTTCCTCTGCCAGCGTGCCCATTGGAGCTTTTGGCGTACTCTAGGATGGGTCCTTTTCTAACTTCAGCTTTATCTCTGTTCGCAGCCGCCATATCTTTTGGTCGACGCGCAACCTGCTCCTCTGTCCCCTGAGTACGTGCTTCTCCTTGGGGGTTGATGTTTGACAACACCTCAAACCTGGTCTTCGTACTGACCTCATTGACCCCTTTAGGTTTATGTGTCCTCTGAGTATAGCCGGACGAGTGGGTTGCCGGTTCCCCCTTGACCTTTTTCGGTGCCTGACCTTGAAGGCTTGCTTTGGTAATGCATTTCCTGGTGTGCTTTTGCACCACCATCCATGAGCCAAATGCCTCATCGGAGGCTTCTCCTTGCTTATTGTTTCCTTTTGGTCCCTGTCATCTTCATGATTCCTAGCTTGAGGCGTGATTTGTTGACTTCCCACACCCACAGCTCCACTGCATATATCTTGTTTGTGCCCATACCTCCCACAGCCAAAGCATATTAGATGCAAACCTTCATAGGCCGCATTAAAAAATCTGCCTCCTACTTGGAATTGAGGGATAAAGCTTTTCCTCAAATCCACTTCAATGCATATCCTGGCATATCTTGCCTTTTCTGTGTATTCCCCTACTCCACCGTCAGATTTCCTGAGAGAGTTTTTGTCAACCTTGAGAGTCTTCCCTAGCAAGTTGCCAATTATCTATAAGTGTTGAGTCGTGTAAAGTTCCAGTAGGAGGCTCGGAATACGCACCCAGACAGCTAATTTTTTCACTTGTTCGTCGTAAGGATCAAACATTGGTCTCCATCTCCGGACCACTACGTAATGTTCCACTACAATCCAGGGACCCTCATGCAGGACATGCAAGTAATCCTTTTCATCATGGAAGTTCACCAGGATGTAACCATTATCCAGGTCAATGACCTCTATTCCTCTTATCAGGCTCCAAAGCTTCAAAAGTCTGGTCATTAAGAAACGATTGCTAATCTTTCTCCCCATAAGTTTGACTATCAGTGCTGACCTCCACTTTTTGCAATCTTCTTTGTACTGTATTTTGCAGAAATGGTATATTGGGCATAATGGGTTTTCCTGCTGCGTAAGGGGCTCCTTTTCCTCAACCTCCTCTTCTTCCTCCTCTTTTCTTTAGATAGTCATCCAGTCTTCTTCATCACTTTGGGCTCCTTGGTCATCACCATTTAGTTGGAGGACCATATCCTTGTAAGAGATTACTCGCCTCCCAACTACTTTAGGCGTGTGAAAATCCTTCCTTGACTCCTCTGCCTCACAGCTCGATTTGTCCAAACTCTCATCTTCCATAGCTACATCTTCAGTCGCATCTTCCTTCGCCTGCCTCTCTTCGTTCCAAAAAGGTCTTCCTCCTCTCTTCCTTCGCCTACCTCTCTTCGTTCCATCTCAAAACCCTAGGAAGGTGTTTTAATGCATATTTTCATTTTTACTCCCACCAAATGTGGGAATTTTTTTTTCCCAGCCCACTTTCACAAGAGCCCAAATGAAATCCTTCTACCAAACATCTTACGGTTAAGAAAACATTTATTTTCCAAGTGGAAGAGATCAAATCACGAAAAATTAATTTATTAAAAGATAATAAGATACTATTTTATAAAAATAGTATATTAATTTATTAAAAAAAATATTATTTTAATTTAAAATAGTATATTAATTTATTAAAAAAAATATTATTTTAAAAAATAAAATAAAATATTATTTATTAAAAAATAGGAATTGGGCTTGAAAGCTTGGGCCAAACTTGTTAAAATTCACTTGTGTCTTGATTTTTAAATGAGTCCTTTTTTTTTTTTTTTTTAAATAATGAGTCCTTTGAATAGCTTAAACTTGTATTATTTTTAAAATGAATCAAACCATGATAGGCAAGAGGAGATCAATTGGTAAGCCGCTGACACACTCTCGAGATTGTTTACACCTCTAGTCATTGATATGAGAATTTTATTTATTATTCTTAAAAAAAAAACAAGTTTAAAAAAAAAAATGGTGTGTGCCCATGTTCAACTAACCAAAGCACTGGCAGTCAAACATCCTCACCCAATCAACAACTTCAGTCAAAGAAGCTTTTATCAATCAACAAATCACACCACATTTGTACACAAATCCAAAATCAAAAGAACAAGAATTTTCTTTTTTTCTTAAAAATAAAAAAAACAAACCAATAATGAAAACCCCTCCAATTTTCTACATTTAACCATTCTCATTATGCAATTCCATTCAATTACCTCGCACACAGTTTCTGCACTTTCTTGTCTTTGCCTTTCCTCTCCCACCCCATCTTGACCAATAAGTCAATGGCACCTTAACAACGTTGTTAGCCCCCAAACCCCCCCACACCATAAAAATCGAAGCTTTATCATCGTACCACCAACTTTGTTTCAGCTCGATGGATCGCAGGAGCAGCTTGTTGCTGCTGACGGGTTTCTGGGTGTTGTTCTTCGCTTCATCGCAGGTCGAAAACGACGTGAGATGTCTGAGGGGCATCAAGGAAAACCTGAAGGACCCTCTGAATCACCTTGCCTCGTGGCAGTTCAACAACAACACAGTAGGTTTCATCTGCTCCTTCACCGGCGTGACTTGCTGGAACGAGAGGGAGAACAGGGTCTATGGTCTGAATCTCCAACAGATGAATCTCTCGGGTCAGATCCCCAAGTCGTTGGAGTACTGTGGTAAGAACTTGCAAAATTTGAATCTTGGGTCAAACTCAATCACTTCTGAGATACCCAGTGAGATCTGTACTTGGATGCCGTTTTTGGTGTCACTTGATTTGTCTGGTAATGATCTTTCTGGGCCTATTCCAACTACCCTTAAGAATTGTTCTTATTTGAATGAGTTGGTGCTTTCAGATAATCATCTTTCTGGTCCTATTCCTTTTGAATTTGAGAGTTTGATTAGGCTTAAGAAATTTTCTGTGGCTAACAATCAACTTAGTGGGGCTATTCCTTCATTTTTTAGTAAGTTTGATAAGGAGGACTTTGATGGGAATAGTGGGTTGTGTGGGCCTCCTCTTGGATCCAAGTGTGGTGGGTTGAGCAAGAAGAATCTTGCTATTATCATTGCTGCTGGGGTGTTTGGTGCTGCTGCTTCATTGTTGCTTGCTTTTGGGTTGTGGTGGTGGTTTCATTTGAGGTTGAGTGGGAGGAAGGAGAAAGGAGGGTATGGGGTTGGGGGTGTTGATGATTGGGCTGTTAGATTGAGGGGTCATAAGCTTGTTCAGGTTAATCTTTTTCAGAAACCTATTGTGAAGGTTAAGTTGGGGGATTTGATGGCTGCAACAAACAATTTCAATGCTAAGAATGTTCTTTTCTCCACAAGGACAGGGACTACATATAAGGCTGATCTTCCTGATGGATCAACACTCGCGGTTAAGCGGCTGAACACCTGTCAGATTGGGGAGAAGCAGTTTCGAATGGAGATGAACCGGCTCGGCCAAGTTAGGCACCCGAATTTGGCGCCCCTTCTGGGGTTTTGTGTTGTGGAAGAGGAGAAGCTGCTGGTTTATAAGCACATGTCGAATGGGACTCTCTATTCCTTGTTGCATAAGAATGGCAGTGTGTTGGATTGGCTGATGAGGTTCAGGATAGGCTTGGGCGCAGCTAGGGGTCTTGCCTGGCTGCACCATGGCATCCATCCTCCCATTATACAGCAGAACATTTGTTCCAATGTGATTCTTGTTGATGAAGAATTTGATGCTCGGTTGATGGACTTTGGACTCGCGAGGCTTATGACATCTGACTCTAATGGTAGTTTTGTGAATGGGGATTTGGGGGAACTTGGTTATATAGCTCCTGAATATCCAAGTACCCTGGTTCCTTCATTAAAAGGCGATGTATATGGATTTGGGGTTTTGCTTTTGGAGTTGGTCACCGGGCGCAAACCTCTTGAGGTGAGCAATGATGAGGAAGAATTTAAGGGTAGCTTAGTGGATTGGGTAAATATGCATTCAAGTTCTGGTCGAATCAAGGATTGCATTGATAGAGCCATATGTGGAAGGGGACATGATGAGGATATTCTGCAGTTTCTGAAAATTGCATCTAATTGTGTGGTTTCTCACCCCAAGGATAGGTGGTCTATGTACCAGGTTTATCATTCCTTAAAGGGTATATCCAAAGACCACAGTTTCTCTGAACATGATGATGAATTTCCCCTGATCTTTGGTAAGCCAGAAAACGAGCCAGCGTAGTTCTGGAGGAGAGTATGACAGCATGAAAAGAAGATTTAACGTTCCAACTGAACTCCCAATTATAGTGGAGAGTTCTCAGAATGGTCCTAAAGTTTATGTTTTGAGCATTTCCATGGATGATCTTAATCAGGTATAGATGTACTTGTATGATATAATAAACTTTCTGGTAGGTTAAGTTCATGCGTTTTATGAAAGCTATT